TTTTTTTTTTTTTTTTTTTTGAGAGGGGTGGTTATAGGATGTGACTTCGGAAGAGAATCTGTACTAAACCACTGTCCCAAGTCCCCTTGTTTATAGAATGGGAATAATAATACCCATCTGGAAGGGCTGTCCTGAGGGTTAAAGATGGCAAGCAAGTGAGAGGATGACCCCAGAGAAAGTTGATACAAGACGGGAATTGAGAAAACCACCAAGAAGATACTTGTGACTGACAAAGGCGGGGTGAACTGAAGTCAAGCAGCCCTAGATCTGCTTTCAGAGAAGCAAAGCGGGAACTGCGGAATGCCATTGGGAGAGCAAGAAAGCACAGGCCAGGTATTATGTATACAAACGCTGTTATATCACTAAATGGTCAATGGTGGCAGGTAAGGCTCAGGGCTTCTTCCACTTTTAAAGGCAGATTATTGATAAATTTAACATCAATCAAAAGGAGAAAGGCTGAAATATTGTTGGGAGTTAAGAAGAAACTTTTATTTTTTTTTAACTCCTGAACATCTACCTAAGTCTGGCCTACGTTGAGTACTTTACATAAATGATCTCATTTAATCCTTCTAATTCTTTAAAGTAGACACCATATTCCCATTTAAGATGCAGAAATTGGGGCTTGGCAAAATTAAGCAACTTCTCCAAGGATACGGTGCTAATATGGGGATGAAGTGGAGATCAGAACTCTGGTCTGACTCTAAATTATACTATCTCTCAGTCCTGTGGATGCACACAGAACACATGAACAGGACATCACTGGCAAATCACTTATCTCCACCTTTCTGTGTTAATCAGCTAACCACTAAAGTCCCAGAAACCACCGCGAAAACCTGATGGCCACAAACCCCTCCAAATTGGAGTGGGGAAGGATGGGGTTTCTTCCTCCCTACCTCTCTTAATCCACTTACTGAATAATTACAAGGCACTAGAGAGGTATGGAATGAGCATTCTCTTTTTTCCAAAGCAGTTTTGGGATTTAGGGCAAAGAAGAAATAAAATTTTGTATAAAAATGACCACGGAGAGTTCCATATCTTCAACAGTGGGCACAGTACAGAAATTGATAATTGTTAAATTACTTCCTCAAAATGCTTAAGTATGTCTGGTCTGTGCAATCAATGCTTTCCATAGTTTAAGTCTACCTATACCCACCAGTGACAGAAATCTTACTCAGAGATGCGGAGAGCTGGGCTTTGAGTAATAAACCCTCCTTCAAATTGCCAAGAATAACTCCAGTTTCATAAAGCCTCCCACAGGTCGTGGCCCCTCTTCGCCATCTACTTTCCCAATCAAACTGACAGAAGCCTTTACAATTCCTTTGGAAAAGAACGGTCGGTGCAAGCAATATTTTGGAGTTTTAACTAAGGATGGTTAAATAAGAGGCAAATGCACCGAGCCATTAATCACAACATTTACCACCGAATAACCACCCATAATGAGAACTATTTGGAACAGTTTCCTTCCAAATAACTCCAAACAAGGCTGCCAAAATGTGCAGACCCTGACGGGTATGGCCATTACCGATCTGTGTCCTTGCGCTCCACTTGGCAACCCCGGCTGA